AGCACATTTCTGAAAAAAATACCCACTCTAACAGAAATACAAGTAATATTTTGCCAACCTACAGATCTAACCTCTAACTACACCCACTTCTTTACAAAATTAAAAAAAACTTAAAAAACACAATATAGAAAGCTCGAAGTATGGAAACAAAAGCAGTACAAAAAAAAAAATAAACTTCTACATCCAATGATGTTACAATGACATGAAAACAAATACCTCAAGGATGATCAATAGTATACTTAATCGAAAAAAAGCAAATATTTCATATAACAAAATAATTACCTCAAATAAAATAATTACCAACCTAAAAGAAATAAAGCAAACAACTAAGAAACACTTTAATAACTAGACCAAATTCAATTCAACAAATCAAAGCTTCGAACAAGAATAAGCTTTCTATCTACAACCTCTCTCAAATATTCAATCACATATCTATAACAATCTTATCTAACCAATAATCTATAACAAACTAACAAATATTATAAATATTGCTCCTACTCAAAAAGCCACAAAACTATCTGGAATATCTAATGAAATGCTCAAACACCTACTCTACATAGCAATCTTAGCACTGTTTTTAATCTTCAATGCATGTATAGAACTAGAACAAATACCCAAAGGTTGGAGAATAGCAAATATATAAGCTATTCCAAAAAAACAACATTATAATAATAACTTAAACTACACACACCCTATCACACTAATTAAACATACACAAAAAATTTTTACAAAACTACTCACACTACAATTAAGCCAAATATTTACTCGATATCAAATCTTGACTAAAAACAATAATGTTGCTCTCCTATATATCTCTACTCTACAACCTATTCAAACTGTAATACATATTATTGAACATGCCAACATTATAAACAATGAATACTAAATCCTTACACAAGACATGTCAAAGGCATATGACACTATTCACATTCTACTCCTTATAAAAACACTACAATAAATCTATATCCCCTCAAAATTCACTAACTTACTTAGCTATCTGTTAAAAAGCAGACAAAACACAATAATAATAGATATCAGAATAACAGAACTCTGTATGGTACAAGACAAAATCGACCAAGAAGAAATATTCTCCCCAATACTCTAGATAATTTACTATGATCTATTAATCAACTGAATTAACAACACCTTTTAAAAATATTTGCTAAATACAAACACTTCTGAAAATACAATATTGACACATACCTTAGTAGTAGCATATATGGATAATATAGTTTGAATCACCAAAAACAAAAATGAACTCCAAGAAATACTTATTACAGTCGACTTCTTCTTATCTTATGCCAATATTAAAGTGAACCTACACAAATCCACACTAATCTCAAACAATTCTGATCTACAAGCCTCTATTACATTCTGTAGACAAACAATCACCAACATTAAACCCAAAGATATCTTTCACCATCTGGGTGTTTGGCTTACCTGGGACCCCTCTTTAAAGGCAGCAAAGGCTTTAATTACTAATGAAATTATCTTCAATATTAACAAATTTAATATGTAAAAATTACTAACAAACAAGCAATTTATATTATTAATAATGTGATTCTAATACATGCTGTATATCAAATGCAAAGCACATACTTAACAAAACACTTATACTATAAAATCACAAAATTCTATACTAAAGTAGTAAACCAAAAAGCATGATTATCTCAATCTACACCCAACTCAACCTTATACCACCACTCAATTTATGCACTAAACATACTCTACAATATCCAACAACAATAACAAATCAGAATCTTGGACTATAGTATCTACTCATCTGAGTTCGACAACTCTAGTATTGAGATAAGGCTACAACAACTCCAAAATACAGCTAACTTAAATCTATCTATTTTCTCTGAACAGCTAATTTTCTTTACAGATGAATATAAAACCAATATAGCCCAACTAATAATAATGCTCTACAACTTAAATATCTAACTAATCTAGCTAACTAACCCATAGCCAATTCTGAAACAACTTCAAGGCACCTCTATCAATCCAATCCTAATGTCTATAAAACAACTAGCAACAATCAAACACAAACTAAATATACATAATATTACCTATATAGAGCAATTTCTAGATTACACCAATAATCATACCTTAGATTGGTATTCATTTCATCATAATATCCAAAAAATTTCAAAAGAAAAAACTCTACGTTGGTTCAAAAACATCACCAACAAAATTATCAAATCCACCAATTTATCAACAACACTAGTCTTCCCTAATCTATTTATATTTACACTAATTAATTCTCTTACCTGTAAATGGATTATTATATATTCAAAAAAAAAATTTAGCAAAATTACAAGCCTGACAAACAATTGAGCAAAAATCAAACACTATATCCAACATTTACTTAATTCAAAACAACTCATTTTCTGTCTAGGCTGTCACAAAAAAAACTACTTACTTAAAACTAAATATTGTTTCTTTACAGTACCAACACAATCATTATACAGAATTCAAGTTAACTGCAAAAAACAAATCTATGGTCAACTTAACTACTTATTACATTTAGTCATACTTGCTACTAAAGAGTACAAGAACTCCCTATATTTACAAACAGCCAACTATTGAACTACCTATCGCTTCTTACAATTATTTAACAATAATAAAACCCAAATTTGAGAACTATATACTAATACCAATTACCCCAAACAAATACAACTAAACATTACTGCCAAATCAAAAAAAATAAACACAGCAAACAAGACCAAAACTCTATTCACCCAAGTTTAATTCAAATACAACTAGCAAATATGATATATAACAAACAAATCCTTCATATTCTATATCTATACAACTTTTACAACACTAGCAATAATTTATACAATTCTTCCTCTCCAAACAAGAATAACTATCAATACTGACAAAAGATGGCTTCAAGCAAAAATACAATCGATATTTAATCTTCTATCATACTATCAACAACATCTCTAAAAAATCTTATTCAACAATATAATATCTACAATAAGAGCAATCACTCTAGCTAAGAACTACAACATTAACGTGAATATAACTGAAAAAAAGATCAAAGTGTCAACACCAAATCTACAACTACATATTAACCTTTTAACACAAACAGTATTAAATTCAAACTATACACCTTGTATCTACAAAATACTTACAACTAGTGTTAATGATTTGAAAATTTTTTTTGTTCTTTGAGAATATAAATTTATAATTTTATGTTCTTGTAAATTTTTTAGTGTTCTTAATAACTATATAATATTTTTATTTAAAACTAAAAAATATAATATAATTTATATATTGTACAAATATTAACAATTATTTATATAAATAAAAAATAAATAAAAAATAAAATATTTATACTATAATTTATTATAAATTATAAATAAAACAAATTATATTTAAAAATGTGGAGTGCTAGCCCAAAAATCATATGCTTGTTGAAAATTAAACTTTTTAAGAGGCAGACCATTAATTTTTATCATTAAAAGATAGTTAAGTGTGTTAATATTCATTTGATTACGGATTTTTGTTTTGATTAAATTTTGTTGTGAAAAAACTCTCTTAACAAAAGCATTAGAAAGTAGAAAAGTTAAAAAAAAAGAAGAAATTTTAAAAATATTAGAATATAATGATAAAAAGTTAGGTGTATTGAAAAGTTTTAACCAAGCTTTATTTGGTTTTAAAGAAGAATAATTAATAAGCAAAATTCGAACATATTTCCATTCTTGAATTAAACTTTCTTTTTCAATAAAAGGTAAATAATTAATGCCTATAAAATATATATTATATTAAATTTTAAATTATTTATATGATTTGTATTATTATTTACTTTGTAAAAATTTGTTTGAACTATAAAAATTTGCAAGTACTGTAATTTCTTCATTTCCATATTCATTTAAGAATGTTGTATTTAGTAAATTCTGTGGATCAAAAATACAAAATGTATTAGTAATTTTATAATCTGAAAATCGGATTTGAAGATTTTCAATTGTTGCTTGTACAAATTCTTGTATATATAATAGAATATCAACTGCTAAAAGATTATTTTCTTCTAAAAATCGATATAAATGATTTTTCTATATAGGTTTATAGTTATCTGTTTCTAAAAAATCTAATCTAATTTTTTGAATAACAGTATCAATTTGAATTTCAATTTTATATAGTGATATATAATCAGCTTGAAATATAAGAGTTAATCGTCAAAGATTACTAAGAATATCAGCTAAAAAATAAGTTGTAATAAAAAAATTTTGATTGATAATATTATATAGCATTTTTGCAGTTTTTGATTTTGTATAATCTTCTTTAAGTGCTTGAACTACTGAATTAATAATTTGATACAAATTTTAGACAACATTAGATAATGAAAGCCATCCTGTAGTTACTATTTTTAACAAATAAAGTTCAGGCTCCTCTAAACGTGCTTCTACCATTTTTAAATATTCTATTCATAAATAAAAATTACTAAAATAACTATAAAGATTTTGGACAATATCATTATAAGTTACAAAATAAGAAATTCCAGATGCTGCACCTTTACTTGCTAATGCCAAACGATAGGAAATGCAATGATGTTCTGTAAGATATGGATTTTTTTTTTTAAATTGTATAGCAACACCATTATTACAACCTTATTATATTTAATATAAATTTATACAGTTAAATATATTAAAAATATATTTATATATTCAAAAATATATAATTTAATAATTACCTAATATTACAGATATACCATCAGTTCCTATATTCATTAAACAATTAATTGGCAAATTTTTTGCTTGTAAAAAAGTATTTAACTCATTGACAATTGCATTTGCTATTCCTTCTTTAAGCTTAATTATTCCCAAATAGCAATAAACTAGTAAGTTTTTTGAAATATGTTTAGTTACAATTGCAAGATTCTTATTTGTTATAACAGTATTACTCTCATCAATCATGATGCTTCAAACTGGAGATTCTTGAATTTCTTGACAAATAGCTTCTTCAATAACTCTCCCAATTGCATTTATAAATTCTCAAGCTGCATAAGTATTAGAATAACTTCCATAATCTGCACAACATTCTTCTAATGATTCTAATAATGGATAATTAAGAGCATAGCTATCTTCAAAAGTATATACTTCTTCAAGATTACTCTTAATATGATATTTAGTTAATGAAGTAAGATCAGTAATTTTATAAGTTGCAATAAGGTTCTTAGCTAACCAATAAATAATTATCAAATTTTGTATAACAGATAAATGACTAGCACCAAGTTGTTGAGTAAAAGCTTTTTTAAGACCTATTTGTGATTCTTCTCGGGTTTTTATTAATCTTTGATGATCTTTAGTTTGTATATGTCTTTTAATTGATTGTTTTTTAAGATATTTACAATCTATAACAAAGTTATTATTAAACTTTGCAGCTTCACAAAGCTTACAAAATAAAGTCTGACTCTTTTCCTTCTGATTTAAATATAACCAAGAGTATGTTATTTCTCAAGCAGGATTCCACTTAAGATTACTTTTTGCAAGCCAAGCAAATTTTGGGCCTGGGTTTTCATTATCACTTGAAAGTATATCAGAGTTAGTTCTTTTATTTGAACCAGTTATACTATCTGAACTAGCTATATCATCAGAACTTATTATATCTTCAGATGTAAAATTTTTATTATCTAAAATATTGTTCCTATACTTTTTAGTATTCATTGCAATTGTAAAAGAGTTTTGTAACAAATCATAAGTATTTTTTTTAGGTTGTTTTTTTTTAGTTTTAATTGACTTTATTTTTTTAAGAATTTTTTTGTTTGTATGATGATTTTGAATATTAAAATTAAATCGATCTAATTATATTAATTTAGGTAATTTATATACATATTATTAATACAAGTAAGTATTAATTTTAAACCAAATTTAGTTAATAGCAAGAATAATACTAATCTATATAGAAATAAATATACTTCTTTAAAAGTAACCTAATTGTAAGTATAATTAGAAATTAAATTACATATTAAAAGTATATAATTGAAATTAAGTAGAATTTTATATTAAAAAATATTTTTTTACTTGTGAACAATATTAATAACTTTAATTTTAAACCATAATTTTACGAAGTTATGCATTACAAGATCTTAAAAGGTGTAGATTTTTACATGCAACTACAATATGATAGTCTTTTAGTTTACCTGTTTTTTTTTTTAAAAAAAAAAAAAGTACATATTTTGGCGAATGGTACAGTACGTATGATAATTGATTACTTAAATATAGAAAGATCTACTTACAGATTTCTCTCTAAAAATCAATAATGATAACTTGTCAACAAAGTGACAATGTAATTAGTTATTAGAAGATTAGATAACTTTACAGAATTACAAGCCAAATTTGTCATTTTAGCTTCTTATATGCGTTCTTTTAAAGAAAACCTATCATTGGACTTTTTAATATATTTTGTATATAGTTGCCATCTATGAAAAGTCTATTATCATAATAGATTTTTGTAAACAGCTAACTATATACAAATATAATTGAAAGTCTAATGACAGGTTTTCACTTGATAGTACTCATAGATGATCATTAAGTATTGAATTAGTATTAGTAATGGAAAAAATAATATTTGCAGTAGATTTAATTTGATAAATTAATACAATTACAGCATGTGTCATATTATTAGTTATAATTATCATATGCTGCAGTAATATACTTGCTAAAGCTAGATTAATGCAAAATTAAAATATAGTATAAATATATAATATATATTTACAAATTTAAATATCTTATAAATATATATATTGGTTAATACAGTATATCTATATATCGATATAATTATATTCACTAATTTATCATAATTGATCAAAATAAACAAGTTATAGATTAAATATAGATTCAACTGGCATTACATAATCCTGATATTAATTTGATTTAAAAAAGAATTTAGCAGAAATAGGGCTCATATAGACATTAAATACATATTGGAATGCCAATAGCTCTCTAGATAAATCAATAAAGTTATAAAGCAAGCTTTATCAATTTATTTAAAAAGCTATTAGCATTCCAATATGTATTGAATGCCTATATGAACCCGATTTGTATCTTAAAAGTTTCTTATTTTTGCCAAATACCTGTTTCAAATTAGATCCACATCAAGATTATATATACCGGTTGGAGTCCAATTTGCTTTCATTCAACCTGTGATTAATTATCTGAATTATTTACAAAATTATCTTGGCAAAATGGTATTAAAATGAAAGTTTTAGAAATATTTAGTATATAGTAGAATATAGTAAATTAAAATATAACTTTACTTATTGTTATAGTTATTTGTATCCATTCCTGGTAATAGGGCCTCTTTGCTTAATATTAATAATTAACTGACAATTTTTTATTATTAAATACAATAAAACTTGAAAGTCCTACATCTAAAAACAAAAATTAATGTGGCTACTGGAATAAACTGGCCAGTTATAAAAATTATATTGATGTATATAAAGATCAATTACATTTCTGGTTTTAGTATCTATATCCATCTATTTCTAGTTTGGCATATAGCTATTATTACTATCAGTTGGGAGAGCAATTACGGATATTAATCCAATTTAGCTCCGATGGTTAATTTAACTCATAATATTTATACATATTATAAAACTCTTAAGCAGAGTCAGGTTATCATTTAATAAATCAAACTTAACTATGAGGGATTTATTATGTAACAATAAAAATAAGAAATATAATAACAATAATAAAGAAATATAAATACAGTAATAAAAGAAAAAGCTAAACTAATAATCTAATACTACATAAATACAATAATATGAGAATCTGATTCTTATTATAAACTCTATAACTAAGACATCATATATTCTGAGATATAGTCTTTTGAGACATTGTTTGAAAAAACTTTTCCAAGGCAAAAACTCAAGTCTTAAATACTTTTTAGTTTACTAAAAGCTACTGTGTTATATTTAATTCAATATTATCTACATAGTAACCAGTCTTTGGTTGTAATATTCCATATTAGATAGCCACGAAACATTGCTTACAATTGTTGTTCCAAATATTCTTCACAATAGTTGTATCAAATATTTAGCACAATTCTATCCAAGCATCTATCTAAAGTTTATTCTGAAATAGGAATAACTAACTACCGGAATTGTTCTATATATCTAAACTTTCAGCCACTATCTAGAAGCCTTACAATATTCTTGTGACTTGGTAATTTGGGCTTTTAGTACTACAAAATTTACATCTAAGTCATGAGTTTAACTTTAGCCAGAACCTAAAGAAGCTACAGATTTAATTTTAGCCAAAACTTAACAAAGTCACAGCTTAAACTTTAAACTGTGGCACTATTTAATGTTTAGTATTACTATATCACATAATTCAATAAAAGTATTTATAGTATTATAATTATTAATAGCATTACATAGTATATAATATTTATGGCAATTTGGTTCTATACTATAATCAATTCTACCACATAGTAAAATACCATAATTCAGTAATTCTACTACCAACTCTAGGAAGAAATAATTAGTAATGCGATGCTATTTTTTTTTTATACTATTACTTTTTTATAAATATATTGATAGATTAAAAGGCTTTGCAGATTTAGTAGCAGTTGTTTGTGGCAATTAGGCTTTACAACTATTGCAACAGTGCAGAAACCTTTATTAGATGTGATTTGAATAAGGAAACTTTGGTCTAATTTAGTTACTTTATGGATCTCTTTTTAATACCCTTCCTCACATGCTTAAAAATTATAAACTAGTTGGTTCAAGCTTGTGAGTTAGTATTTATAGATGTAGCTTCAATATATTATAATAGGTTTATTGTTAGTTATATTTTATGAGAATATTAATAAATTAATATTTGTTTTTTGAGAACATAAATTATAAATTTTATGTTCTTGGATTGTTTTTAAAAAAGAACATGATTTTCAAAAATGATGTACTCAAATTTTTTTAAATGTTCTTAAGAACATTGAGAACATCAGATATCAAACACTGCTCACAACCTACTCAATATACTAGCTACCCAAAATCATTCAAAAAGCAAAAGCTGCTATTAAATGGAATAAACAAAACCAAATCAAATCTATAATACAATGACTCTCAAATATCAATTGGAAACTAACTTTTGAGTATCTAAACTATCAAAACAACTTGCTCAGTCACAGTACTTGCTTCACCAAATCAGCTCTCAAAACCTTTAAAGTAAAATTACTAATATCTAAACTACCAACCTACCTACATCTCTTTTACAAAGACTTATTGATATACTCTAACCTATTTTGTGCAAAATATTCACAAATACTTGAAAACATAGTTCATATACTTACCAGTCTACACAACTCTACAAATATTAAAGAAATCATACACAAAGCTATAACCAAAGTTAGCCAAACAAATGAGATAAACATACTAATAATACACAAATTTATACAAAATTTCATCTCAATTCACATTCATAAACAAATCCCGATTAGCTTTATCAATTCAAGTATACTACCAAAACTAGACCTACTCTTTCAAAACAATGAGCTAATCACACAAATATACTACATAATCACCAAAAGTATATATAAAGACATATGGAAACCAAGTCGAATGTGTTTATAACAATCTACTTCAAACTCTTTAGTAATCATAACATCCTTAGAAATCTACAATCTCTCTAATATAGCAGATAGTCAATTTCTTATATGGCTTAACAATTTCATCCAATATAACTTCATATTTTCACTCTTTAATTACATAGCCTAGAGGTTTTCTGACTATTCTGGCTAAGAATAAATCGAGGGTAAATCATAGCCCTAACTTCTACTCCTTTTTGTTGAATGTACTAGTTGTATTCAATTATATATTTTGAAATAAAGGAATAGAGAAAAGACCTCTCTTAAAAAAATAAAAATAAAAATAAATAAATAAATACAATTTAAAATAATAATAGTAAAAAAGTATAAAAATATATAAAAATTTAAGGTTCATTTAAATCATGATTATCTAATTAATAAAGACTAATATTAAATTTTGTTTTTTTTAATTACTTAATTATTTTTTTGAACTAAGAAAATTCTTTTTTTATATTATTTAAAATTAATTAAGTAATTTATATGAACTTTCTTATTAGTATTTTATGAATTTGAAATTTTTTATTAGTATTTTACTAAATAAGAAGTTTATTGAACTTCCAAATTCGTATTTTATGAATTTAGAGATACAATGAACTTCCTCATTCATATTTTACAAATTTGGAATAATTACATGATTTATTGTTTATAAATATTAGAATAAAATTCTTTGAGCAATTTTCATTACATATATTCTGGCACAATACTCTATTTCTGGTGATCATTATTTCAAAATTCCATCTAACTAACTATCAAAATACTTTTAATTAAACTTGTAGATATGATATCAAACTACTTGAATCCAAATTTTTATGCAAAAAAGACAAAAACTCATAGAGATATTCTGGCCAAATTGCTCAGAAAAAATAAATAATATTAAAATTATTTTTTATTTTTTATTTATTTTTATTTTTATTTTTTTTGTTATAAATAAATAGTTAAAATAAACTATATTTAAAGCTCTCTAAATATATATTTTTGAGACTATACTTTAATAAAGTATATATAAAAAATAATAAAAAAATATATTTATAGAGGTTAAATATAGGTATGCACTTAGAGAAAGTGCACTTAGTAAGATCTA